TAGTTGTAAAAGTGTTGTATTTAAAGTATTAGTTTTTATCGTCATGAACATCTAAAGTATCTAACTAGCTTCCTGTTCAAATTACAAGTTTTAAGTCTAATTATTCTAAATTACTCTCTTTTATCTTTCATCATAGACATCCAAAATATCTAATTAGCTTCCTATTCAAATTACAAGTTTTGTGCTTGATTATTCTAAATTACTCTCTTCTATCTGTTTAAGTCTCTCTCATGAGCTTGTGCTTACCAATTAACGAAGAATAAATAAATTTCCTTAACAAATCAAATCCAATTTTTTGAGGATAGCTTCCTTTTTCGAAGGTTAATCTTTTACTTCCTCTATTTAAATTACATTTGTATGGCTAAAATTTTAGATGGATACATTAAAGCGTTCTCAAAGACCAAAAATTGAGGCCTACACTTCCTATAAGCATACCCTTTATTACAAAACACAAAAAAAAAAAATTATCTCCTTTATTTCATGCGTTCTGCACGTCAACATAGACAAAATTTTGTGTGAGTACAGGAATTTATTTTGTGGAAAATCCCTTGAAATCTATAGGTTAACTTTTATTTGAATACATAAATTAGTTTTATCGAAAGTCCCAAAATAGAACTAGAGCAACCCACGATCAAAACTCTAAAATAAGTAAGATCTAACAAGAATCTAAACCCAGCCACACATACAGGGACAAAGGTATAAATTTCAAACAAACAACAAGTATTAAAATTGATATATCTATACATAGCCTACTACTTCTAGATGGAATAGGAAACCAGAAAACAACTAAAAACAGAAAAATGTGCTGAAACTAGTGCGATGCTGCCTATGACAATGTCAAGAACTAGACATTGGTTCGGTCATTAGGTTGGATGTCGTCTGGTTTGCACCCTGTGGAGGCCAATTGTGTATTTGTCCGCCTTGGCACCGTCTTAGGCTAGGGCCGTGGTAGTGCTTGGAGGGAGGCCTTCCCAGGATTCGATCCCTGGTCCCTTGAATAAGGGGTCTTGGGGATGGCTCCTTGAATAAGGGGTCTTGGGGATGGCTCCTGGTACCACTTGAGCTAGTTCCCCAAGACCCCTTATTCAAGGGACCAGGAATCGAATCTTGGGGAGGCCTCCCTCCAAGTACTATCATGGCCCTAGCCTAAGACGGTGCCGAAGCGGATAAATACATAATTTGCCTCCACAAAAAAGGCCCACTTGGGGCACCACGTGGATGGTGGATAGGGTGTCCACGTGGCACCCCGAGCGTCTTTGTACCATTTGAGCTCTTTGAGGATGGTCATCTCGACTCGATTAGAGCTGATTCCGTATTCCTATCTGTGAGTCTAGGTTTACCTGTAGTGTTCACCTCGACTACCTTGTATTGCCTCGGGTACCACGTATCCCTGAAAGACCGAAGTGAGCTGGACTTCTGCTGGCTCAGAGGGAAGTGAAGAAGCACCCCGCAACCGAGGTGGTGTCCAAAGATTTGACAACCCAGACCAGTGGATGACACCCTGACCACTGATTTGACACTCTGTCCACTGCCCAGTGGTCTAGTCAAGCGGATATGTTGTCTAAATCAAATGTCTAGAGACCTAGACCTTTCCCTCCAAATTGTCCCCTATAAATAAGGGAATCCTCCTCTGAGAAAAGGGACGACTCTCTGGTAACAAAAATAGCTCATTCTCTCTTTAAAAAAGTATTCTTGGCATTCTCATATAACTCCAATTAACTTAATCTTCAGAGATAAACCGAGGATTTAGCCCCCTATCCTAACATAACTGAGCAGGTGATCCTGGTACAGTGACCCCTTAAAGAAGGAACACCTAGACCTCCGAATTACCTCGTCAGGTCATAAATCACCTCTTTAATTGGCGCCGTCTGTGGGAACCCAAAGACATCAAAGGATGAAGTCTACGCGTTCTAGGAGCAGGAAGGTTCTCACTATTGGAGTTGAGCCTGATGCTACAGCGCGAAGATGTTTCTGGAGGATAGGGGTCCTCAGAGAATCAAACTACAAACGGAGAAACAATAACCCGAATGGCTGAGTTTGTATCTGAGAATTCTAATATCTTTGAAGAACTAGGGAGGTATTTCAAAAGGCAATGTAAGCAAAAAGTTGAATCCTCTAAGAGAAAGTCGGATGAGTCTCCCGAACTCCCTTCTGATGAGAAATTCGAGGGGAGACCTTCCATGATGAGTACTTCGAAGTGGGTCTCCTCTAATGCCACCTCTAGGATTGCCTCTATTTCTAAGGCATTCTCAAGGGGCCTGCTAGGAAAATAAACCGAGAAGGAATCTCGACACTCAGGAAGGCCAAGAGTGAACTACATGAGAGTTCCGCCTTTCACAGATGACATCAATGAGGAGAGACTCCCCTCCAACTTCAAATTGCCCACCATACCATCTTATGATGGCCGAGGTGATCCGGAAGACCACATTCATGCCTTCATCTCAGCATTTCGATTGTATTATATACCCGACCCGATTATCTGCCGGGCTTTTCCAGTATTCTTATAGGGGACAGCTCGAAAATGGTTCTGGGGTCTAGAACCTAGGAGCATCTCCACTCTGGGAGAATTGGTGGACAAATTTCTCCATCGATTTATCTCTTCCAAACTGACAATAAGGACCTCGGCTTATCTGTTAAATATCCAACAGAATCCAGGGGAGTCCCTCCGCGCTTATGTGCAGAGGTTTCAAAATAAAAACGTGCAGATACCTAATCCCAATGAACAGGTAACCATAGCCGCCTTCACAAATGTGCTTGTTGTCGGGGTGTTCAACACCGCGATACACAAGAAGTACCCTCGAACTCTTCGAAAACTCTGAAAAAAGGTCCAAAAAAGCATACAGCCGAAAGACCTGAACCGCATGAAAAAAGAAGCTCAAGTGGCTCGTTCGGGGGCTGATTCCCGACGAAAGAAGGAATCAGTCCGAGGTGACACTGGCATCGGCGGTAGATCTCAGGGCTCTAGCCGAGATCGTCGAAACGTATTTGACAGGATAACTAAGGGAAAGTCATCCATCCCTGATTCTGAACTTACTCCATTAAACACCAACCGATCTCATGTCCTCGCTGTCATAGAGTAGAATCATCTCGGCCGTACACCCCCACGGATGGTTGGAAGTAGAGAGGAAGAAACTCTAATCTTTATTGTGCTTACCACCGAAATATTGGGCACGAGACCGAAGATTGCAATGATCTGAAGAAAGACATTGAAAACTTAATGAAGCGAGGATATTTAAAACAGTTCGTCCACCGAAACGAAGAACGCACTAGGAGTGATAGTCGTCGCGACTGCCGAAGTGAACCATGCTGGGATGAAAAATAGGGATCGAGGACTAGCTGTTGGCCTCCACAAGACCCTAGCGAGTCGAAAAGGTCTCCCAGAGATGGGTTCCCTGGAGGCGCGTTTGGTTACGGACCAAACATAGCTGCAATCATAAACACAATAGCTGGAGGCCGACGGAAGGGGATAGCCAAAACTCTCGAAAGAGAACCTACAGGCAAGCTAATCCTGATTAGGCCGAGTCTAACTCTCGCATATCCGAAATGATCACTTACGGATCTAGTGATCCCGTCCCTGTTGTTTCAAGCAGTCATGAGGCCCTAGTAATAGAGGTGCTCACCTACAATTATATTGTCAAGAAAGTGTATGTCGACCGAGGGAGTTCGGTTGACGTTATGTACTTTCGGATTTTCGAGAGCCTAAAGCTGACTAAGGAACAATTGACCGGGTCCGAACCCCTTTTGTAGGATTTGGGGGACACGTGGTGCACCCTGAAGGGATAGTCACACTGATGGTAACTGTGAGACGCCACCCCTGCTGTCGAACCATCCTCGTCAATTTCATTGTAGTTAAATCTGACTCTCCTTACAACCCACTCATGGGTTGGCCTACACTCAACGTCTTACATGCAGTATATTCCACGTATCATTTAATCTTCAAGTTCCTAACCCCAGCAGGCATCGCCGAAGTGAGCAGCGATATTTACGTTGCGCGAGAATGTTATCTAGCCACCTTGCAGGCCGCATCTACTTCGACCTCCGGGCTAAGAAGTGAGAGGAGGTCGAATATTCTTTCAATTGATTGCATCGATCCTCAGCAAATCGGGAAGCCAAAAAGGCTGGTGACCGGAGATAAGGTGGAAGATGTTTCCCTGGATCCAGCAAAACCAGAACAAACGATCGGTGTCGGCATCCACTTGCCCGAGCCTTGTAAAAGTCAGATGATTAGCCTCCTAAAGGAGTATCGGGACGTTTTCGCATGGACTGCCGAAGAGGTTACAGGAGTGCCGCATTATCTCATAATACATGAGCTGAACGTTGATCCTCAGGCACATCCAGTAAAGCAAAAAAGAAGGCACTTCGATCCGGAACGAAGTAAGACAGTAGGTGAGGAGGTGGATAAACTCTTGCCGGCGAGGATGATCAAGAAGGTGAAATACCCGACCTGATTATCCAACCCAGTCATAGTCAAAAAGGACATGGGAGCCTGGAGAATGTGCATCGATTTCACCGACCTAAACAAGGCTTGTCCTAAGGATTACTACCTGTTGCCTAGAGTCGACGCTTTAGTAGACTTGGCAATGAGTTACGAAGTCCTCTGTTTCCTTGATGCCTTCAAAGGATATCACCAGATCGGGATGAGTCAGGAGGATCAGGAGAAGACGGCCTTCTACACAGATCAAGGTGTATATTGGTACACCACCATGCCCTTCGGGTTGAAGAACGTTGGGGCCACATATCAACGCTTGGTCAATCGAACTTTCAAATTCGAAATAGGCCGAAATGTTGAAGCATATGTGGATGACATCCTCCTCAAAAGCTAGAAGACTTCAACTTTCTTATCCTACCTAATTGAAGTCCTCGGAACCCTCCGTGATACCCGGATGATGTTGAATCCCAAAAAATGTGTTTTCGGAGTCATTTCAAAAAATTTCTTGAGATACCTTGTCTTGCGACGGGGTATAGAGGCAAATCCTGATAAGGTGAAAGCGATTGAAGAAATGTCTTCACCTCAGTGCGTCCGAGATGTGCAGAGGCTGACAGGGCGATTAGCCGCTCTGAACCGATTCTTATCGCAGTCCGCTTCCAAAGCACTGCCATTCTTTAAGGTATTGAAGAAGGCGGACAAGTTTTCTTGGACAGAAGAGTACCAACAGGCCTTCGAGCAAATGAAGGAGTATCTCCACCACCTACCAACACTCACCTCACCTCGGTCTGGGGACAAGCTATACTTGTACCTATCTGCTACAGAAGAGGCGGTAAGTGCCATGCTGATACGGGAAGAAGGCACTCAAATGTCAGTTTATTATGTCAGTCGGGTCCTCCGAGGGTCTGAGACTAGATATACCCAAGCAGAAAAACTCGTGCTAGCTTTGGTTCATGCCGCTCGCAGGTTGAAACCCTATTTTTTAGCTCACAACATTTGCTTGAGGACAGATCAGCCTCTCAGGCAGGTGTTATTGCGCCCCGAAACTTCTGGTCGTCTTATGAAATAGGCCATTGAATTAGGGAAGTACGATTTGTCCTATGAGCCCCGGACGGCCATCAAAACTCAAGCTTTTGCGGACTTCCTAGCCGAGCTCACTTTCAGCGAGGTGAAAGAGCCCACCTTAGCTCTCGCCGAGCCTCAGCGGTGGATCCTGCACGTTGACGGCTCGTCTAACAGTGAGGGTAGCGGAGCAGATTTGCTCTTCGAAAACCCGCAAGGAGAGCGGTGTTCATATGCCCTACGGTGTAATTTTACAACCTTTAACAACGAAATCGAATATGAAACAGTCATCGCCGGCCTACAATTAGTCCACAGGCTCGGTGCTCGGCGCATTTTGATAAACAGCGACTCTCAACTCGTCATGTGCCAAATACCTGGTGAATACAAGGCCAGAGAAGAGGTCATGCAACGTTATCTCTCCAAAATTCACCAATTAACTGCACACTTTGAGTCATTCGAAATTCAAAGGATATCTCGATCCCAAAATAAGCGGGCTGATGCTCTATCCCGGCTTGCTTTTACTTCTTTCTCCGACCTGAATAAAACGATTCTCGTTGAGGTCTTGGCCGAGTCAGACTATTTAGAAGAAATCGTGTGCCCCGTTTATCCAGGGGACACTTGGATGGGTCTCCTGATTCGATTCATCGATCAAGGAGAGCTTCCGGAGGACCGAGTCGAAGTTAGAAAACTTCAACGAAAGACAGCTTGGTACGCTCTCTGGGACAATATCTTGTACAAAAGATCTTATCTTGACCCATGATTGCAGTGCATTACGCCACAAGACGGGAAGAGAATTCTCTAGAACATACATGAAGGACTCTGCGGAGCGCACGTCGGCTACCGGATGTTAATCAAGAAGACCTTGCTCCTCAGCTATTTTTGGCCAATCATCCGGCGAGATAAACAACTAATTGTTCTTTGCTGCCCTTCCTGTCAGCACCATGCCCCTGAACATCATCAACCGACCAGTCTCATGGTCCTCATTACCTCGTTGTGGCCATTCGATCAATGGAAAACGGATATTGTGGGCCAATTCCCCCGAGCCACCGACAATCATGTTTATTTGGTAGTGGCAATAGATTACTTCACAAAGTTGGTGGACGTTGAGCCCCTGAGGAGCATAACTAGTTTAGCGGTTCAAAAATTCTTCTGAAAAAATATAATTTACCGCTTTGGACTACCCCGAGTCATTATCTTGGATAACAGGAAACATTTTGCAGATAACCCCTTCAAAGGATGATGTGAGAACCTCGGAATCAGACAATATTTCACTTCGGTAGGACATTCCCAGGCCAATGGACAAGCTGACCTCGACCTCGCCGAGGAGAAGAGAGACATCGCAGCAGCCAAAGTGGCGCTGTACAAAAATATCTTGGTTAACTATTATAATGCTCTGGTTCGACATCTGCGGTTCAATCCGGGAGACTTGGTTCTGCGAAAGAATTCAATTAGTCGAACTGAACCCCAAGGCAAATTAACCCCCAAATGGGAAGGGCCGTACCGTGTCACCGAGTCCAACCAGAATGGTTATTGTAAATTAGCATACCGTGATGGTATTTCGGCGCCTCGAACTTGGCATGTCGAAAATCTTAGGTTGTACTATCCGTAAATTATTTTGTATTTCAGTCGAGCGATTTCCTGTTTACTTAGTTATTTTTTTCGCCTAACTATTAAGACGTTGTCGAAGAAAATAAAGGGACAAGACAAGTAACATAGAGATAAAAGAAGTGGAGAGATAAAAGAAATGATTTTTCATTGAATAAGAGTTCAAGTACAAAAATTCGAGGACTTGGAGTACAAAAAGCCGAGGTCAAGGGCACTTATAAGCGCTCCCCGTCTCGGTCTCTCCCGTACCATCACCTCCTCCTACCTCGGTGGTGCCATCCGCCCCAGTTCCCTCAGTTTCGGTTCCCCCCTCAGGCATAAGCTCGAACTCCGAGAGCCATCGATTGAATTATTCTCATACCTCGGCCAAGTTCCTGCCGGATTGGAGACCCTCAGCTATACGGTCGTATAATTCCTTGGCATCTTCGTTGTAGTTGGTCTTATCCTTGAAAGAATCCAACTCTTCAGGCGCAAGGAGTGGCGCAACTTCGTTGAGGGCCGAGATATAACCAAATATGAAGTTTGGTAGAATTAGCTCGTCGAGATCCTTAGTAAAGGCCTCGGACTTGCGGAAGGCTTCCAGTGCCGAGGTTCCGGCCTTCTCGATAGCTTCCCGAGATGACTGTTCTTCTTGCAGACGTCGATTCTTTTTCTCGTCCAAGGTCGTACTTAACGAGTTGGCAGCAGCTTTGGATTGTTCCCGGTCGGCCCTGGCCTTGTCGCGATCCTTCTCGGCCAACTTCAGCTTCTTCTCAAGCAAGGAAATTCTTTTTTGAGCTTCAACTGAGGGCTCCCGGTTCTCGACAATTCGGAAAGGAAGGTCGTGGTGGAAGCCCAGGCCACAGACGCACTTTGCATCAGCTAATTTGATGTCAATTTCCTCGCGTAGGCATGGTCCCTCGGCAGGGCGGAGTGCACTAATTGCTCGTGGGCCACGAGGAGATTTTTGCATCTAACATTTACATTAACGCCCCACTCCGGGCACCAGTGTATGCCGGGGTGTCTCTTATCCTCCCCGACTTCTTGGGGCATCACATGGTAAAGGTTCCACAGTGAAGACCCACTGATAGGAACCTCGGTCGCTGAAAGGCCCTTACCACGGCCCAGAGGTAGAGAAGCCACTGTTATACCCCGGGTCATTAATCCTTCGGGGACGTCAGAACCTTGGGGGGCTCCTTCACGGATAATAACTGGAGCGGAACGGGTTGCAGCTGCCGCGGTCTTCTTCTTCTTCTGCTGAGTAGTTGAAGTCTCTGCGCCCTCTTTTCTCTTTGGTGGTCTTTTGGCCACCACAGTAGACCCCGACGTGATCAGATCGGAAATCTTTGTCACTGCATAAAAAGAAGTATTACTACTTAGAGCCAAGTGAAAATGAAAAACACAAGTATGAAGTGAAAAGTACAGTGCTTTTGGAGTTTAGTAGAAAAATATGGAGGTTGGCCCGGACTAATAAGGGCTCGACTGATCCCGCTCTTAACCAAGATCATCTCGGGATAGGTCCAGCTATTGATTCAAAGGCCTGACCGGAGGAGTTTCTGAAAATTCTCTTCTTCCACATCTCCTGAGGAAGGATCCTTGGCCGCGGTGGGTGGTCTCCACAAAAAATCCCTGAGAAAGTCTTCGGCAGGGACGAAGACAAAATTATGCTTTCACTCCTTTATAGAGGAGGGAGCGTCTACAACTAATTTCGGAACGCTGGAACTTATGTTGCCGAAGTAAAACCAACCCTTCTCACTCCCGCTGTTCTTGATTGTATAACAGCGGCGGAAGATGTTGGCTATAGGGGTCAGTTTCAGACCTCGGCAGAGCAGTTCGAACTCGATGAGGATTCGAACCGCATTGGGGACCAATTGGGTTATCCTTACGCCCCAACACCTCAGCACGTTTCGAAAAAATCTGGTGATCGACATCCTCAATCCGAGTTCCATTTGGTCGAGATAGATTGCCACCCTTCCCTTCGGGGGCCGCTCGGCTGACTGATCAAGCTGAGGTGGATAGATGCTGTAATTTCGCTGAAATGGATATTTATGTATTATTTCGGCCGCCTGAACATTGCCGATCACACTGTTGAAGTGCGGAAGTTGCCCGAAGTCCACAGTTGAGAGGTCTGGCAGAGTAGCTGATTCGTGTGTCCCCTCGTCGAGGGGTACCTCAGACCCAAGGTCATCATTATACAGGATCTCGGGGGCCAGTGTATCCTTGTCCCTGCGACGCCTCCAACGCTGCCGACCCGTCGGATTCCTCTCCCGGGCTGGAAGAAGTACATGCCTCCTCTTCAGATGGGTCAAGCCTTTCCGCTGTACTGAAGTTCGGCCTTACCGTCTCCTTGTGTGTACAAGCTGTCTTATCCATAATCAAAGAAAAGAAGTGAAACTTACTCTTCTAACCTGAGTTCTGAAAATTGCCGAGGTGAAAGTACTGGCAGGTTTTACTTTGGATGATTAAAGATTTTCGCAGTAGAAAGTAAAGAGTGACGGGTTTTACCTATTTATAGACCGATAGTGGGGAGATGGAAGGACGGTACGTTTGGGGTTCCCTAGGACTCTCTCTCCTCATTAATAGATTGCCATTAGTCTCAATTGTTAGAGGCGTGCCCGTTCAGAGGCCTGTCATTAAAGCTGCCAACCTTCTTATCATCTTCCCCTTTAACCTTATCTACACGCCTATGACGTGTTGTCATTACAACTTGCATCTAGGAACTGTTCGGAAGCCTCGGAAAGCGCCGAGCAAGTCCTCCCTCCCCGAGGCTTGAGGGGCTTAGTGAGGATGGTCATCTCAGATAGGTTAGAGCCGATTCGATATTCCTATCTGTGAGCCTAGGTTTACCTGTAGTGTTCACCTCGACTATCTTGTACTGCCTCGGGTACCACGTATCCCTGAAAGATCGAAATAAGTTGGACTTCTGTTGGCTCAGAGGGAAGTGAAGAGGCACCCCGCAACCGAGGTGGTGTCCTAAGATTTGACAACCCAGACCAGTGGATGTGACCCCTGACACCCTGACCACTGATCTGACACTTTGCCCACTGCCCAGTGGTCTAGTCAAGAGGATATGCTGTCTAAATCAAATGTCCAGGGACCTGAACCTTTCCCTCCAAATTGTCCCCTATAAATAGGAGAATCTTCCTCTGAGAAAAAGGACGACTCTCTGGTAACAAAAATAGCTCATTCTCTCTTTAAAAAAGTATTCTTGGCATTCTCATATAACTCCAACTAACTTAATCTTCGAAGATAAACCGGTGACTTAGCCCCGTCTCCTAACACAACTGAGCAGGTGATCCTGGTGCAGTGACCCCTTAAAGAAGGAACACCCTAGACCTCTGAACTACCTCGTCAGGTCATAAATCACCTCTTCACACCTCGAATGAAGTCTAATGCCTGACTTTGGTTCAGTCGTAGAGCCAAAACTTCTGTGGATTCCGATAGATTAGTCATACCTTCTTTTCCTCGATCCAACTCCATTCACATACTCCGTTGCCGATAGAATTTATACTTAAAATGGTCAAAAAGTCATTAAACTATACATTTTTAATTATTCAGGAACTAACCGGAGATAAAAAATAGACCAGGAGTCGAAAGTAAACAACGACGACAGTTTAGGGGCTCCCCAGATTTTTTACTCAAAAATTTAATAATTCATTTGGCACTAATAGACTCGTAAAATTTGTCTTTTATAATTATGTTATGATCATTAATGCAACTATTATTTTGTATTATATAGTAGTTTTTTTTAATCCATTTTAGGGTGTTGTACTAATTTTATACATTACAAGAACCATTTCCTCCCCGCATGCATTTCAAGTAGACGTTGCTCATTTGCTTATGATACTGAGCGGAAAATGGGAGAATTGTGAGCTGTTTCTGCCTTTGGATGCTCGGGTAGAATTTGAAGGTCGCCCTCCGTGGAAAGAGCCATGCTCCCTGAGGAGATTTTACTGATATGCTATGCACCTTCTCTCTTTCCTCGATTGGTTTGTAGCCTACCAGATTGTTGGGGTGAAAATTTTAAAAATCCGGTACTTTATAGAGTTGTAGAATGTTGAGGAGCATGTTGACTTGGATGATTCAATCATGACTAGATCCTGGAATCAAGAGTATATGTCACCCAGAAGAAGATTAAAAAGGAAAAAAAATGATCAAGAATATGCAGGGAAGCAG